ATGGCTGCAAAATGGCGCATGAAAAATGCACAAAACGAGCCTATGACTAGAGAACGGCCAACACATGAGATTCGGTGCACAGAGAGGAACACAAAAATAACAAAAAAAATATATAAAGAGAAATGGCAAATGTTTGCATTGACGAGTGCGATGTGACACATTGATTATGCATACCTGCGACTACGTATACACATGAATATTTAAATGCCCAAAGGAAGATAAACTGTGTGAAATGGTATTTATTGGATTGACAGTGAGGATGTGGAGCAGATGGGCGTTCGTTTGAGTTGGATTTGATTTGAAATTTTAAAGTTATAGAAAAATAAAATTTAAAAAAATTTAAAAAAATTATGTTATTTCTACTTTAATTTTAATAAATTATACTTTCTATTGCTGGAAGGCATGATCTTCAAGGATAAGTTGTAAAATTTAAATAAATTGGAACTTTACTACAGCGCTTAGTTTCTGATGGAAATAAGGAAACCTCTACGAAAATATTGTAGTTTATTGTAGGAAGAAGGCATTTTAGAGGCGGCAGATGGGATAAAAAAATTATTTGTTAACCAAGTTGTCTAGAAAGCGTTGCACCTCGGTACTACGATTTTGTATTTCTTGTCTTTATTTTATTTTCATTTTACATTTTTTGAGTATTTTGAATACAATTATATGTGTGACAATAATAATTACCCCGCAGGGGAAAATATTAGTTGTCAGCTGGAATTCAACTAGTTTACATTTTTACAACAACAAGTTCATCCTCATCCATTTTCCATATAAAAAACTGGTATTTTTTAACACGGCGATGTCCTAAGAGCTGACGATTGTCCTACTATGCATCAGCTTAATACTAGTTTAATACTAGTTCAGTTAGGCATATTGAATTTCTATTTCACCATAAAAAAAGAAGAAAAAACAAATAAAATTCCATTTGTCGGCTGCGCGAATCGGACTGAGACCCTCACGCATCACAGTGAAGACCTAAAAACAAAAACAACATACGAATGACGTGGAGGTGAAAAATTCTGTTTTACCACAAATTAAACAAAAAAAAAATTTAAATTAAAAATTTCTGTTTCATCAAAAATCAAAAAATTCTGTTTCACTAAATAGTAAAAAAAATGGAACTTGAAAATCAATTTGCCTATAGCGGTACTCGAATCGAGGTCTTTATGCGCTACAGCGATAACCTCTAACCACTCGGCTATCATGACGATGCAACGATCAATGCCATTTTGCACACTTTAATAGAACAGAGCAGATAATGGAATTCTGCCGCGGTCTGCCGATATACAAACAACAAACAGTGGTGGAAATTGTTATTTCTCCCGTTACTGGTGGACTTCTCTCAAATAATGAGCTGGTATGATTTCATCTTAACATACTGGTATTTAACAAGAATTTTTGCATACTAGTTGGTTTTTCCCTGCCGGGTAGAATTTTGCCTTCATCGTTTAGAAATTTTCTTACGATTCCCCTTACTATCGCCGAATAGCAAAAATAAAAGAGAATTTTGAATTTAATGAGAACAAGAAGACAATTAAAGGTTGTAAAATGCCTCGGAATAGATTCCCAACTATTGACAATGACCACTGAAAAAGTTTTAAGGACTATATCTTAAGGGCATGCAGCTGGAATGGTGCCTCAATTGAGAAGATGCCCCTGCCGGTTATTTGATGCTCTCGTAAGACAAAAGATTGACATCACCGCCGTCCTTGGAGTTCGATGGACGGCACACAGGCGAAGACTAGTAGACCCTTGTGGTTGGTACTACAGCGGCCAATTGTATGTGGTACTAGATTCCAGTACAGGGAAATTCATCAAGCCTTTGGCTGTCGAATAAATCAGATGGATCACCTGTGATAGACGAATGCACATATCTAGAGTTCTTGACGTGCGAACACTTCGATGACCCAGCATCGACTCAGATCACATTCTCTTAGCAGTAAAAATACGCACCCGACTCTGTGCAGCAAAGAACTCCCGTCAAAAAACATATGAACGGTTCGAAGTAAAAAATCTGCAATCACAACAGACATCCGAAAATAATTCGACTGGCATACCTGCCTTTTGAGAGAACGCATTGGTAACTCGATCTGTAGGACAGCACTACAGCTGCAAAAAAAGACTCTTGCGATGAGAACTGTCGAGTCGCTCTCGAAAAGAAGCAGACTGCCTACCGCACAACTCTGCGATTGATCAGAACATACGCAATATGGTAAAAAAATAGGGAATTGAAGAGCAAAGCAAGACGTATGTGATGAGAAATAAGAAACAAACCAAGAGCCGTGAGTATAAAGATGCTCGAAAAGCTTGAAAATTTTGCTGATGCTTGAAAATTCTGCAGCAATTTACAGAAAATCTCAATATCGAAGCATAAACTATTAAGTCACAGGGAGAAGGTCTTGAAACTGATGTCCAGAGCATACCTGCCATAAAGAAAAAACATTCTCAAGCCCACTGAATGGCAGTTAATATGCAACGCTTGGATTATGAAGAATTTCGAATAGCAAAAAAGCAAAGTGGTGAGGGACGATGGATTTCCGGCATTGCTACTCAAATACGGCGGTAGTTATTTTATTCCACCAGAAAGGGAAATCCCACAGTGCGTCCCAATTATAATAAGAAACACCTCCTTAATTTGGAATTTAAGGTACTATCAAGCGTATTCTGTGAGATACTAAAGCCCACCGTCAACAAGCTGATTCTTGCTTTAGACCTTGTACATCGATCATTAACCATAATTTGTCCATAAAAAGAGGATGGACGCACTCCACTTCTTCGTCGATTTTAAAGCAGCCTGGAAACTGAAGCTGGATAATATCAGCAGTGCAGTTAGAATCGCGAGAGACTCTGGTAAGACGTTTGATACCAAACAAGCTTTTAGAGAGATTGACTTTTTATTGTGTGATTTCAATCTGTTGATGGAGAAAATAATGCCAGCTGTAAAGCTGAATATAGAAGGTACAATATTTTATATGAGTGTGCAGCTACTGGCTTAACCTAACATACTGGCATAATTAGTCTAAACAACAGCGCGTGAATTTTGCTTTCTCCACACTGTATAAAGAAGCGAAGCGTATGGGTCGAGTATTGTATGAAGGCAAGGCAAAATATCATCTATCATCAAACAAACAGTCAACCCATTCTTCCTATCTTAGAACCAGCAAGAACGTTAGCTTTGTAATCTAACGGCGAATCACTATTGCAAACTGGTGCTACTTTGGACTGAGTAGACAATTGACATGACAATTGAATTGAATCTTATTTAAATATATTTGTTTTTGGTATTAACTTTTTTTTTTAATCTAGAAAGTTTGAAGACAAAGTGGCTATTGAACGTTATATCAATCTCTGTGTTAGCAGTTAGTAGTTATTTCATTTGCAATTAAAAATATTATTTACAAAAATAAGTTTCAAAATTCGGACTTTGTCTGTGAAAAATTATTACTCATAACGAAATTGGGTCCGAAAAAAAGTATTTTTCTATGCACTACAATTTTTTGCATTGTCTTTGCTCCCATTTTCCTTTCCCACATTTTATGTCTTGTAACTTTTCTCTCAACACGCTAAGTGTTTTGCAATCGAACACTACTGACAAAGCAGCAAACCCCACACCTCATTTCTACGGACCAATTCTCTTTCGTGCATACATTTTGCCGTGATGTTCGTTGCGCTTACTTGCCCAGAATGAGAGTGGGTAGAAGTAATCGAAAGAAATAGAAACGAAAAAATGTCATATGTTTGCTTTTTAACGTGATATCGCACCCTACTCTCTCTCTCTCTCTCTTTCTCTCACTCTTTACGCCCACTATACTGGCACTGCATATACTTGGGTACTTGGATAGAAATCGTTGATTCTGTGTTAATATGTCTGTAAAATATGCATGTTGCACACATACTTACTCTGTAGATACCATTTTTTTCGACCTAAAATTCTTAACATAAAATCCTTTTCTTCTTATCAGCTAATCGAAGTGTTGGGCCAATTGTCTGCTGCAATCTTTGTCGTTCCCTTTTGCTAAAATCTGTTATTCAGCTTATTTTCATGCTTTCTTTATCATTACTTTTTTTATAGTTGAGTTTTTCTATACCTTTCCCATTTTTTTATATGCTAATATATTTTTTTCTCTCTTAATATCCCACTGTTACCATTCGAAATGGGCTCCACGCACACACACACACACACACCTGCACAAGTTCACACACTTCATTTTAGAAGGCGCCTCAAACAAACCTCTCAACACACACACACACACAAACACATTTACCACCACCAACAAACATTCCCTCAACTGCTGCCCTCCAACAGCGCCGCCCAACAAACTCCTTAACTGCTTTCTACAAAAACACACACTTTCACGCTTTTCCTGCTGACCATTAACTCCACCTGAACATTTTTATAACACGCGCATGCAATACATACATGTATTGTATATGCACAAGTGCTTGCAAATAAATATATTTCTCGTATATACATACATGTATGTATGGAGATATGCTCGTATTAGCTCGCACACACAGTTTTGTTACTCATACGCCCCAGTGACCGCGAGGCAGGCAGCAGTAATAGAAAGAAAAAAACGCACACCCGCGCATTTGATTTGAGCATTGAACAGAGCGTGAGTATAAAACAAATGCAAAATTGTTCTTACACAACTACACATACAACGGCACATAAACATATTTATATGGTGTTTTCTTCTCTGTATTTGTACGCCTGCCTCGTTTATATCCTTTTCACACACCCAAAAAATTTTTGCTGTTTTCGGTGACTCGTTTTTCTTGCATGTTTCTTCTGCTTCTTGTAACTACACAAAAAATTCTGTTATTGTTGTTATTTTTGCCGCTGTCGCTGTTGTTTTTGTTTTGCCTACCTTATTGCTTGATTATATAAAAAAAAAAGAATTATGATATTTTGCACAGCTAAAGGAAATAAAATTTCATTTGATTTATTTTTCAATTTTACAAAAACCACAAATATACAAAAAGATTTTGCTTACTTTTTTAATGTTTAGCAGAATTTTTTATATGCGTAATATTTCGTAGAAATTAAAAAAAAAAACTTTTGCACAATCTTTTTGTAAAGTCTCCAACTAAATTTTAGTAAAATTCACTAATGCATTTTAAGCAATTCCATTAAAAAAATATGTATGTATATAGAAATACAATTAAATTACACACAAGTCAATGAAAGAAAAGAAAAATTACTTCACTTCTTCTTTTGCACTTTTTCAAGTATCTATACACACTTTTTTAGACCAACGCCGTTTGGCCAACTCAATGTTTTCTAGTTAGTCCGCGTTACTAGAGTGAGCTGCTGCTACGGCCTGCAACTTAATTCTCCACAATACGCGAGACTATTATTCGACACGAACCGCAACGAGACACAGCCAGGCAGGCAGGCTTTCAAGTCGATACCTTTCACTTGCAGTGGCAGCACACAACGACACAACGGAAAGTAATACAATATAAAAACACGAACAAGACGACATAACAACGGCGAAACGTATACAAAAGCGAATTGGTAAATATACAAGCTCGCTTGAAGTATGCTGAAAGACCGAATTTGTTGGTCTTCGCAATCAAACGCAAAATGCTGAGCGACAGCGTAGATAGCGGTAAATAGGTATGACGGCAAAATAGTCGGCTAAACGGCTAGTCGGTTAGTCGGTTAACGCTTCGTGTCTATGCATATGATATTGTGTTGCAAGCTTTTACAACTACGCAAAAGCTTTGGAAAAGCTCTACATTCTGTATGTAAATGGAGCTGTCTATTTTTTTCTATTTTTCTTCTTCTTTTTTTGAAAGTGAAAGTGAAAGCAAAGTGAAGAGAAGTTATCGGCTAGTTATGGCAACTCGCATGTTTACTATTTGAGTGCGTCCATTTGTTTGTTATGAGTAAAGTGAGCTTAATGGTTGACAATTAGCGTACGTATGTTTTCAAAATATTGAGTGTGTTTGGAAGTTGATTGTAGAGTTTAAGTTTTTAAACCCAAAACTATGAAAAATGAAGCAAAAACACTCTAAAGTGTAATACCTCATCACTGGTAATTTTCTAATACCAACTTAAACTTCAAAATTAGTTCCCAATCCATCCATTGTGCCCAGCTAACCCCACAAGCCGTTTTGTATCCACCGAAAAGGCTAGCAGGTAGAGTGGCAAGTTCTGAAGAATACTCCGAGGTGTTAAATCCATCCATTTCAGCGCTTGCAGATAGTTTTAGAGCATTACAGCCAAGTGGGATGCTGTGGGGTGTTTTCCGGACATTTTCAAACAGTCCCGCCTCCCAGTTCGGTCAGTAGTAAATCTGACCTACTTTTTTCCCAAAGGAGTCCGGTATTTATTTATTCCTCCCCATATAAAAATCAATTCTTAAAATGATATTTGTATATTTAGGGGCTTGTTAGTGAATGCGGGCGAGAGAAATCATCAAACAGTCAACTAATTTACGTCTTGATACCCGAGTCACTGTTGACAGACCTCATTTTGAAGTCAGCATTAAGCCCGTCAACTATGCTAACCTATAGATCTAACTCAGAATCACCCTTACCAACAAATACTACTTTGTCCTGAGTAGGCAATTGAAAAGTAGAGTCATCTTTCCACGAACAAAAACCAAACTTGTATTTTCTTCGGACCTACACCCACATCCATCTAAAGTCCAGTTTCCACAACAATTTGAGACAGCTGACCATTCACAATGTCGAACGTCGATTCGGTGCTTGAAAAACAAGCAGCGGACGACGATTTTTTGAACACAACTTTCTTTTGCGGCGAGGCACATTTCTCAATCGGGCGAGAAGTAAATAAGTCAGTTGTTATATTTGAGGCTTCAAGAATCCTCTAAAAATTAAAAAAGGTCTTGTTACACCCAAAACCCTAACTGTCTGGTGCGCTCTTAAGTTCGGAAGTGGAATTGGATCTTACATCTTTGAAACCGACAGCAGCGAGACTGTTTTTCGGAGCTTTATGATCGTGGAATAACGAGTTTTTTTTTGAATTGAAGAAGTCAGACAACAGGAGCGAATGTGGCTTTATTAAGAGAGAAATTTCCCGGCAACTAATCCCTCGTTTTGGCAGTTTGACGTCCTTGGACATATTTGCAAATAAATCTTTGACACTTGAGTACTTGAAACCCAACAGTGGTGTGGCAAAAAATGGATCGAAATTTGCAAAAAAAATTCCTGGCGACCGCATGAACTTATAGTGTACGTCTTGATTTTCTCCCAACAAATAGGAGCACCTACAGTCTATTCTACGCTGCCTTCGTACTGCCGATGGATCTTTATAAGGAGCTCTGTATTTCATGCCAGAAATGCACTCGGAGGGCTTGACTTTTCCTGCCGAGGAACGGCGACAATTAGAAATATTTTCTATAATTTTGGATGTTGGTCGAAACAGGACCCGAATGCTGGCCTTCCAAGTGGTAATACGTAATACTAAACTTTGAAGAAATGTGGGCGAGTTGCGACAACGAAGCGATCTCCAGTTCACAGAATTATCAATTGTAGAGGAATTTTGCTCAACTTAATGACTCTATTTTTACTTAATTAAATACAAACCCCATTAGTGTGACTCAGTTGTTTGGTGTATTTTCATTCGATTGAGTAAACTAGCAGTCCTGCCAAGCCAAACAACACACTCAACTAAAATAAATATTAACTTCAAAAATATTCCAGTTTTCTGCGCACAAATTCAAGCTTTAATGCTTTCCATTATGGCAAACTCTCAGAGAGCGCAGAGCTCGCTCACCATCAACAACCCAATCTGCGCTTGGCCAGTACAAGTACGAGCCCGAGCGCGTGTGATTGTGATTGTGATGTGCAAAGAAAGAGTAGAAGCGGTAGGAAGGCTGGCAGGCAGTAGCTGTTCTGCCATTTGCCGAAAGACAGTTAGTTTATTGAACAATTTTCAAATTTTCGGAGCGCATACGCATACTAAATCATTTGTTTACACGCAAGCGGTTGTGTACTCGCGCAGTTTTTTGCAGCTTTTCGGCTTTTTTCTTTTATCTTACTTCTTTTTTTTTTTTTCTTTTAATTTTTATCTTAGTGTTAGCTCACAAACACAATTTCACTGTCTGCGCCCGAGAGTTTCCGGCTACACAAAATACTCGTATGCTTCACGTACACGCAAGCATGTGGTAAAATGAAAAGTAGGAAAATATCTAAATTGCAGAAAAGCTAACGGTGATAGAAAAAGCTAAGAAATAAACGTGTATTACGAACAGAAACCACAACAGCAACAAAAACGCAGTAATTTTTGTAAGAAAATTGAGTGCATGGTGTAACAGTACGTTGGTAAATTATGTGCATGTGTGTGTGTGTGTTTGTACACCGAAAGTAGCAGAGTGCGCGTATTCCAGTAATAGTAATAAGGTAAGCGAAGAAGCTTAAAGAAATATATATTTAAATTAAAAAAAAAATCGCCATGGGGAAATCTCTGCTTGCTGCAAATGGCTAATTTGTAATATAAAACGTGGATTTGCGACACGTGTAGGAGCAACGATAGGGTCTATCGGCAAATACACATTTTTGTAAATGCATACTCGTATATTATATAAATGTAAATAATCGAATGGAAATTTTTACAAATTATTAACCCCAATTAAAACGCAATTACACCTTTTTTTCTCCATTTAAAAAAAAAAATTTTATTTTATTAGTTCGTTGTTAACATAAATAGTATTATCTGCAGATTCTGCAGCAAATCAATCCATTTTCAAAACAAATATCGCCGTAAAAATTTCGAGCTTAATTTTGGTTAATTTAAAAAAAAATTTTTTTTAATATGATAACTTTGTGTACATGTGTCCGCTTTAAGTAAAATGTGCAACGTTTTTTTGTAAACTCGTTGCCAACGAGATGCCAAACTCCATTATACCCCCCTCGTAGAAGACTGCGTCCCTATTGGCAAAAAACTCGGAGAGCCAATTTTCACAGGCCTCTCTTGAGGCCAACTTCTCACCATTAATTGCGTTCGCCATGGAAAGGAAAAGATGGTAATCACTTGGCGCCAGGTCCGGACTATAAGGTGGACCTCCCATCCGAGCTCCTGGAACTTCTGGCGCGTCACCAAAGACGTGTGGGGCCTAACGTTGTGCCGATGGGACACAATTCGGCCTCTGTTGATCAAAGATGGCCTCTTCTCGCTGAGTGCTGTCAGTAGAGAGCATTGATAATTGAGCGTTTGGTTATAGGGGAGCAGCTGGTAGTAGATGATTCCTCCCCAATCCCACCAAACACAAAGGAAAACCGTCCTAGCCATCAATCCGGTCTTGGCCACCATCTGAGCCGTTTCCTCGAGCTTTGACCACGACCGTTTGCGCTCGATGTTGTCGTAAGTGACCCATTTTTCATCGCCAATCACAATCCACTTCAGAAACGCGTCGATTTTGTTGCGATTCAGCAGCGATTTGCAGATGGAAATTCGGTTCATTATGTTTTTTTTGCGTTAGTTCGTGTGGCACCCAAACATCGAGCTTCTTTTTGAATCCAAGGTTATGCAAATGATTCCAAACGGTTTTCTGGCTTTTCTTTAGTTCCTCAGCAGTTCAATAAGTGCCCACGTAACGGTCTGTTTCCACTATTTCCATGATTTTATCGCAATTTTCGACGACAGGTCTCCCGACGAGTGGTGCATCTTTGACATCGAAATTACCGGAATGGAACCTAGCGAACCACTTTTGTACTACATAAACTAAATTAATTTTTTCAGTCGCTTTGGCTGCTTTTTCGCCTTGATCGAAGAAAAATTGTAAAATTTAGCGAATTTTCTCTTTGCTGGTGTCCATCTTTGACGAGCGCTCACAATGTACTGAGTCAATCAATCGAAAGACTGTCAAAGACAAACTTTTAGCGCTAACAAACACCTTTTCAGCGCCATAAAGTATCACACGATGCGACACGTAACAGTAATACTGTGGACTATATCGCCATCATATAAACCAAACGAACTTTTTACACGATCGAAAAATTGTGTTTAACGGCTTTAAGTCAGGGTGGACAGGGGCTAGGGAATATTCAGCCTAACCGACGAAATATTCTCAAGTGGGTTAAAGCTTATCGGCTGCACCGGGATCCATATGTTTGTGTGCGGTATTGGATTCCAGTGAACGAATATTCACCGAACTACTTTTCTGCCTCCAGCTGAAGAAATCATCTATTATGATGATTTATACGAACTGTATGTTTCCAGTATTCCACAAGTTCGAAAGTTCTGAGGTCCAAACATTGACAGGGATCACTAATTTATTATTATTTATATTTTAACATCGAAAAGCTTCAATCACTTTGCACTATCGAGCGGTTTGCTATTCGACTTTCACTCCTGCTCTCTGAGAGCACTCATTAGCAACTCCATATAAG